TTTATTTCAGCACGGCACCGCCCCTCCATCCCGCGCTTCACCTCCTCGCCACGCTGACCACCAGCCAGTGCACCCCTTCCGCATTTTGTATATATATATATATATAAAACCTTCTATATATAAAAATATAAATATGAATGTTTTTTTTCTCGGCATGGCGCCGCGCCCCCTCCCCGTTCCGTGCGCACCTCCGCGTCGCCCCGCCCGCCAGCCAGCGCGCCCCCTCCGCCGCCCCGACCCCTCGGCGCGGCGCCGCCCCCCATCCCGAACGCATCCTCTGCGTCGCCCCGCCCGCCAGCCAGCGCGCCCCCTCCGCGCCGACGCGTGCATTTCGGCGCGGCGCCGCCCTTTTATTTCGGCGCGGCACCGCCCCCCTCCCATCCCGCGCGCCCCCGCCGCATCCCCCCCGCCCGCTCAGAGCGCCACCTCTGCCGCGACACCTTTATTTCGGCGCGGCACCGCCCCCGCTCCCTCCGCCCCGGCCCGTCTATGTCGGCGCGGCGCCGCCCCTGCCCGCCCCGCGCGCCTCTTCAGCGTCCCCCGCCCACCGGCCAGAGCGCAACCTCCGCCCCGACCTTTTTATGTCGGCGCGGCCCCGCCCCGCCCCGACCCTTCGCTAGGGGTCCTCCGCGCCCTCCCACCCGCTAGCCAGCGCGCCCCCTCCGCCCGCGCCCCCTCTGCGCCCCCCATCCGCCAGCCAGCGCGCCCCCTCCGCCCCGGCCCCTCTGTTTCGGCGCGGCGCCGCCCCCTTCCTCCCTGACCCTCTGATTTCGGCGCGGCGCTCCCATCCCGAGCGCCCCATCTGCATCGCCCCACCCACCAGCCAACGCGCCCCCCCGCCCTGACCTTTCATATTTCGGCACGGCGCCGCCCCCCCGTCCCGAGCGCCCCTCCGCCGCGCCATCCACCAGCCAGCGCGCCCCCTCCGCCTCCACCCCCTTCCTTTCTGTGCAAGAGCCAGGGCGCACGTGCCATTCGTTGTTCGTGTTGCTTTTCCGAGCCATCCTGGTGTTTTGGTTTCTCGTTTGCAGCTCCCCGTGTCTCCGCTCTTCTCCTTCCCCCCCTCCTCCCTCCTTGCCCCTGTCCTCCACGTCCTATATCGGCGCGCCCCTCGCGCGTTCCGTGGCCCCATATGGGGCCCCGCCGAAGGCCTCGCTGGCGGTGTTCGCATGCGTTCCCCCCGTCAAGTATAGCGTTTCGTGGCCCCATGGGGGGCTCCACCGAAGGCCCCAGTGGCGCAGTTCGCATGCGGCTCCCCCATTCACTACAGTGCTTCGTGGCCCCGTATGAGGGGCCCACCGAAGGCCCCAGTGGTGGTATTCGCATGCGTTTTCCCCACCCCGTACAGCGTTTCGTGACCCCATGGGGAGCTCCGCTAGAGGCCCCAGTGGCGGTGTTCGTATGCGTGTCCACCACCCAGTATTGCGCTTCGTGGCCCCAGTGGCGGTGTTCGCATGCGTTTCCCTTTTCCATTACAGAAGCGGAGACGGACTCATGTGTTCCTTTCTTTGGGCCTCCTGTGTGCTTCCTGTGAGTCTCGCGTGGGCCTCTAGGGGGCCTCTTGGGGGTCTCCTGGGCCGTCCTAGGGAACTCTCGGTTCGTCTGCGCTTTCGGATGCCGTTTTGGTGTCGTTGTTTTTTTTCCCGTTCAAGGGCGTCTTAAAGGGGGCCTCTTGGGGGCTGCCTCTGGGGCCTCTTGGGCCGTCTTGGAGGGCTTTTAGCCCGTCTTGCGCCCTTGGAAGACGTCTTGGGGGCTTCTCTGGGCCATCTTTTGGCGCATGCTTGTAGCGCTTCAGGGCCGCCTGGGCGATCCTGGGGTCTTCTTGGGCCGACTTGGGGCCCTCTCCGGGTTCTCCTTGCATGTATTGGAGCTATCTTGGAGGCCTCTTGGGCCGCATTGGGCGGCTGGAAGCCCCAGTAATCGGGATTTTCAACATCCACCAACAACTTAAGCAACATCGTTGTTTTTTTGCCTCCTCGGGCTGTCCTGGATGGCCTCTTGGGGCCCTGTTGGGCCGTCTTGGGGGCATTCGGGGCCGTTTGGAGGCCGTCTTGGGAGCCTCTTGAGCCGTCTTGGGCCCGTTTTCGTATCGTCTCGGCTGTCCTGGAAGCCGTCTCTCGGCGGCCAGATGGACCGCTTGGAGGCCGAAGGGGGCGCCGGGGGACACTTACAGGGGGGGCGATGTGCCATTCCCGCGCGCGATGCAGATGGGGGGGGCGGCCTTCGAAGGCACGAAACACAAACTCCTTAGAGGGATCCCAGGGGCGCAGGCACGGTGGCACATTTCAGGTATCTGTATTCACTTTGACCGTCTTGAAGCTGCCCTCTCCACTGCTCGTGCAAACATCCCACCCTCCCACCCGCGACTTGGTCGCAAGACCTCTTGAGACAAGACCGTGACGGCAGGTGCCGCATGGCGCTTGGCCACGACGCCGACGCCGACGACGACAGCGGCAACGACGACGACGGTGCCGCCGACGCCGACTACGACGACACCGACGACGTCTCAAACGACTTCGACGACGACAACCGCGACGACCACGACGGGGTCGCCAACGCCGACTACGACGACACCGGCGACGTCTCCAACGACTTCGACGACGACGACGACGACGACGACGGCGACGCCGACGACGACGACGACGCCGACAACGACGACGATGACAACGCCGACGACGACGACGCCGACGACGACGCCGACGCCGACGACGACGAAGACAACGACGACGACGACAACGCCGCCGCCAACGAAGACGACGACGAGGGAGGAGGGAGGACGACGACGGCGACAACAACGACAACGACGAGGGAGGAGGGAGGACAGCGACGACGAAGGAGGGAGGGCGGCGACGCCGACGACAACAACGACGAGGGAGGAGGGAAGTCGACGACGACGACGGCGACGAAATAGGAGGGACGACGACGAGACGCCGACGACGGACGACGACGACGACGAGAGTGGAGGAGGAAGGACGGCCACGGCGACAACGATGACGGAAACGAACACGACGCCAAAGAGGACGACGACGATGAACAGGAGGAAAGACAGGACGACGTAGGCGACGACGACGACGCGGGAGGAGGGAGGACGGCGACGACGACGACGACGCAAGAGCGCGCGCGCACGTTTTTGTTGTAAATTCGTGTTGCGAAACCTTGTGTTTTGGAAGGTTTTTTGGACACGATGTTGAAACCGTCCCGAAACCTATGGGTTTTGAAGGATTTCGGCATGCGCGCGCGACGACGCGCGCGTCTTCACGTCGTCTCATTTTTTGCAGAGCATTCTCGCTGCGGCACACGCGCGAGGGCGTTCGACAGATTTCGACATGCGCGCGCGCGAAGCCCGTTTGGTAGCATTATGTGAAAATCTTGAAACACTCATGATTTTCTGAAGATTTCGCAAGAGCTCGCGCGTAAGCTTTTTTTTGCAAGTCAGTGTTTCGAAACTCTGCATTTTTGTATGTTTTTTGGAGACTCGATTGCGAAATCCTTCCGACACCGAAGGTTTTTGAAGGATCTCGGCATGCGCGCACGACGACGCGCGCGTGTACTTGTCGTCCAATTTTTTGCAAGGGGTTCGTGAAATAGTCATGTCCCCGCGTATCGTTTTTTACAAGGAACCTCAGGGGGGTCGATACCCGCCCCTCCGGGATAGTGTGATTCATTTCTAGGATGGGCATGTGGTCATAATCATATATGGTTTAAATACCCGAAAGGGGAACGGATAATTCCAGGGGGGGTCGAGTTTTTTCTGTTTTTAGAAAGGAGAATCAACCCGGCGTGCCTTTCTACACTCCAGGTTCGCCACGTGAACCTTCACATCATTGCCGTGCACTGCTTGGGCTGCTCTAGCCTCTGGGTTTTGGATTCGTTCTCTTACGGCACGCCTGGGCATCAGATCTCGGTCGATGGTTTTTTTGTTGATTGTATGACCCCATGTCCGGAGGTGCAAAACGCTGCAGCGACCCGTGCGATGCCCGAAAAACGACGCGCGAACAGTTTTAGTGCGGGCAGCGCCTGCGACCGTGCTGGCTCAAGTGTTGCGACTGTGGTATCGTTGGATCCGTTCCTGCAGTTGCATCTTCACGTCTTGGTGTCCACAGTCATCCTTGGAATGCTGCAGACCCCAGAAGCTCTGCATATCAGCTCCGATGAAGTGGGATTTGTGCCGCGGTGGATGCTTATCAACCCTCGTGGTCGTGATGCCATGTGTCGGGTTGTCGTGGAGTGCGGACGCGTGGCTTAATTAGATTTGAATCACCGCGTGCGGAACGTGTGATGCTGCATGGGTGCACAGTGTCCACGGCCCGGTCGGGCGGCTGCCAATCGTATTTTCAGAGAGTTTGGTCTGGAGTGTTTGTGTTTCAGTGTGTGTGTGTGTGTGCGCGCGCGTGCGTGTGTGTGTGTGTGTGTGTGTGTGCGTGTGTGTGTGTGTGTGTGTGTGTGTGTGTGTGTGTGTGCGTGTGTGTGTGTGTGTGTGTGTGTGTGTGTGTGTGTGTGTGTGTGTGTGTGTGTGTGTGTGTGTGTGTGTGTGTGTGTGTGCGTGTGTGTGTGTGTGTGTGTGTGTGTGTGGCCGCCGACGCAAAAGCTCTGTGTGTGTGTTTGTGCGCGTCCTGCTGTGTGAGCGAGGCCGGCGCGTGGTCTTCGCTGGAACTTTTCTACGCCGCGACGCTGCGCGCGTGGCCGCGGCGCCAAACAAAGCACTGTGTGAGTGTGGGTGTGTGCGTGTGAGTGTGCATGATTGTGAGTGTGCGTGACTGTGTGTGCGTGCGTGTGTGTGTGTGTGTGTGTGTGTGTGTGTGCGTGTGCGGTGTACGTGCGTTTCGTGCTTCGATTCCGGTACCCTTTCACAAGGGGTCAATTTGAGTCTATCGTGACCTGTTGCGTCGCTTCTGCGGTTTGGTCCCAGCCGCGCGTTGGACTGTGTATGTGTGTGGGTGTGTGTGGGTCGTGCCGGATTTGGATCTGGGCCCGCAGGCTAGGGGACAGGTGGGAGCAGGGGCGGGGATCCGCGCGGAAGGTGTCGCTTCTGCGCTGTCTCAAGCTGTGTTTCCCTTGCGCTCTGCGATGTCCGTTCACTCGGAGTGCTGCTGCCGGCGGGCCTGGCGCCCCGTCGGCTGATCCGCCATGCCGCTTGCCAGCTCCTCTCGGAGGAGCGTTCACCCCGTCCGTGTCGGGGTCACGAAAGAAATGAAGGTGGGCATTGTTATTCTCTAGATTTTGTTGTTCTTCGCATCATGTTCATCACCCCAAGAGTGGAGCAAGTAAAAGTGGATGCTTATATACATATTTTCATATATATATATATATATATATATATATATATTTGTACACCTTTATATTTATTTATGTATTTATATGTATGTATATGTATTCAAACGTTTACAGTGCAGACTGAGCCGCGACACTAAACCAACTGCGCCCTGAAGGTTGGTGGGATTGCTGGGTCTCGCGTACTTTGCTTTTGTTTGGCCTGGCCTGACTGTGATGTGTTTAGCCTTGGCTGACATGGATTGGTGGAGCATGGCTTGGCTCAGTGTGGCGTTGACGGCGTGCCGACCGGAGGGGACGCTTGGACGATCAAGATACTATTGGTCATGCTCCTATTGATCATGACGCAGGTGCTTCAGATGCTCAGGTGTCGCTACGCGCGCGCCTCATACCTCAGCGCAAGCCACACTCTGGGTTTACGAGTGCTTGCCGTTCTCAAACGCGGCCACAGTCCCAGTTCGGAATGGCGGTGTCCCATGAACCGTTCCCTGAGGGGTTGTCCCGTGGGGGATCCTCTACGTTCCCATGTTGATCTCGTTGTAGTGCCCTGGACGTTCCCATCTCAGTATTGTGCGTTTGCCTCAATGTTTGCTGCATTCCTGTTTAGTCTTGGTGGCAAGCCCCGTCGGCGGCTACAGGGTCGGGCGGTGCCTTTGTGCTGGCCGCATTGCCAGCTCGGTCGCCTTCGCGCTGGCCACATTCCCAGCACATAGCTAGTACTCTCCCATAAGCGACGTCTCCATGTTCGGGTCGGCAAGGCGCTTTCGCTTGAGCACCCACCACGTTCGCTGCGTGCTCTCGTTCCAGCGGTAGTTCCAGACCCCAGTTCAGAGTGGCGCGCTCTTTTCAGAGCCGGCCACGTTCACATCTAAGAGGCAGCGATGGCGACCGCAAACATGCATATCAATATAAGGGAAGCTCACGTTCATAAAGGCAAGCTTGTACATCTTTAAGTGAGCGTTCGACATCAGGAACTTCTGCACACGAGGTACGCGTGCCAAATTTGATACAATCACGGATGCGGGACAATGGGAGATGGCGATGGCGCCAAGCCCTGGTAGTTTTGACGCGGGCCAGTTACCATAACGATGAAGCGGCGAATTGCAGCATGGCCTTGTAAATGCAGCGCACGTTTTCGATCTGAAAGCGATCTTAATGACATGGGAGAGGTTTGCGAGGTTTCAATTGCGTGTTTTTGAGTGCCGATCCCCAGTATGGAGCGAAGAGATTGGTCATTGTGCGCTTTTCGGAGCCTTTGTTGTTTGGCGTCTCCAGGGCTTCTTGGTTTAGATATTCTTGGTGCCGTTTTGGGTCGTTCTGGGCTCTTTTGGGCTGTCTTCGGGCGTCTTGAAAGGCTTCGGCCATCCCGGGGTTCTCTTGGGGACCTCTTGGGGCCGTCTCGGCGGGGAGCCACGGGGGGAAGCGGGGGGGGTGGCGCAGTCGGTCGGAAGATGTGGAGGGGGTCTACGGGGGAAGGGGGGGGGCTCGGCGAGGGACCCCAGAGGCCGAAACCGGATAACAAAAACTTGGGTGTTTTTTTCCAACGCGTTGGGGGCTTGGGAGGCCGTCCTCAGGGAAGGGGTCGACGGGACTGGCGGCCTTCTTCTCAAACGGGTCGAGCCGCCGGACGTCTGGGCAGTGCCGCTGCGAGCGGAGCGCAGTGTGCGCGTGCGAGGAGCACCGCGACCAGCATCACCAACGCCTGGGACAAGGGCCCAGAAAGAGGTCGTGCGACCTTGCCCTCCCCGCCTCACGGGAGTGCGCTCTTCGGCAGGGGCCCGCCTTCGTGTATCCCAGGGTGGGTTTGTCAGTCGAGAGGTTCTGGCTGGGTGGTGGCCGTGTGACGATCGAAGCCGCTCAGCAGACAGGCGGTGTGATGTGATGGCAGGCCTATTTTCATCCAGCGCATTGCCGAGGGGCACACTGCGGGAGGAACTCGGATCCGGGGTCATGGGTCATGGGAGCGAATTGTGGAGGCGGGCTTACGGGGACGACGACGCTCGGCGATTTTCCTCGTGCCTGGGGCTGGACTCAGTGAGGCAGGTCAGCCGGAAGGGCGTCCAGGAGAGCTCTGACGCAGATTCTGGGGGTTCGCCCCCAAGCGGGCGAAGCATGCTCATGTTCCCGTGAGGCACCCGAGGAGTCGCCAAGACTCGGTCCGACGGCACTCTGGCATGGGGACTTGGCTCTCGTGCCCGGCCGAGAGGTGGGCGCGCCTGGAACTCCGAGCACGGCGCGCTTCCGCAATCGAAGACCACCCGCGCCCTGGTCATTTCGCTCGCCCTGCTTTTCCGTTTCCGCCTGCCCTGCGGTCGGTGCGCCGGCATGTGGTCGGGCCCCTCGTCGGGCTATGTTAGTCCCAGGGAGGTCGCGCACCACTCCTGGTAAGGGCCCAGGGCTCGGGCCCTGCAGTCGCGTTACCGTTCGAAACTGCACGACCGTTCGAACAAAAACAAACAACACAAACAATAAGAACATGACAAATCATAAAATAAAGATGAACACACACATAAAAGAGTAAAACAACACGTGGCCAGGGCACGGTGGCTGCATCAAGCCAGCGGGAAACGCTTCCCTTCGGAGGAGTTCGCTGATGTTCACGCGTCCTGCGTTGACACCCCGCCGCGGGTACTCATGTCTGACTGCGAAGGAGAGGGTGAGCGATCGGATGGGGCTCTCGGGAAGCAGGTCGTGCGTGAACAAAGCAGGGGGGGTGCAGTGGTGCACCGCCGAGCGAGGGCGAGGGAGCACGACAGGCGCAAGCACATGTGAACTCGTGTGTGTGTGTGTGTGCAGAGGAAACCCATGCCAAGAAGCGCCCTGCTTGCCTCCAGGGTGCCCTGGGTTCCTTGAGTTTCGATGGTTCTGTTGTGGAAAGCGTGACGTTCCACCACGAATCTATGGACGTCCTGGGGTCTCAGGGTTTTGCTTCTCTTGCAATGTTTCTTGTGGTCGAGCTCCTTCTGTATTCAGATCTTCGCGGTCATGCGAACCAGTTGATTGGACAGCTGGTTCCTGTGCCGCTCTCTTTCGACTCGTGCCTGCACGGTACTTCTGCGTCACGGCGGGAACTGCCGGGATGTTCCGTGCTTGGCGAGCATGCAGCACGTGAGAGCTGTTTGCGTCAACGCGCATGCGCTAGGTTCGAGTCGTGTCGTCCGGCGGTGACCCCGCCGCCGGCATTCAACGTTGAACGCCGCCGGCGACCCAGAGTCGGCAGAGGTTGAACGACCTACCTTTCTGGAGGCGGCCGATCGTTCAAGGTTGAAGGCTCCCCGCGGCGTCGACACGACGCGAACCTGCCGCAGCTGCCGATGGGATCCTTCCGCCTCACGCCTCCCGTTTGCCCGAGAGCAGAGGGGGCCCGGGCCAGGTCTCGGCGGAGCAGGGCGGACGCACGCACGGGCGTCGGCGTCGGCGTCGCCGGCGCCGCACCACGCCCCCTCTCCGCGCGGTGCCGTGCCGCACCGGGGCGCCCGGCAGGAGATGCTGGCGGGGGGGGGGTGCACCTGTCGAGGCGCGCAGGTCTCCCTGCGGGGGGGGATTCGACGAAGACATGAAACTACTCCAGAAATATTCCAAAATGGTCAACAAAAATACTCCAAGAATAGTCCCCAGACTGTTTTTGGACTATCTGTGAATATGTGAATATTCCCCCTGTAGAGGGACGTGCCCGACTTAATGCAACAGTTGAGGCGCGCGTGCCGCAGGAAGGGCGCGTCGGAGGAGGGCGAGGGCATCGGCAATTGGCCCGCGGGGGGGCCGTCGGCACGGCCTGGGCGCAGCTCGAAACACTGGTGCGTGTGGGCCCGGGAGGGATCCGGGGACCGATTTTGAGCTGCTGTGGTCTCAGCTCGCTCTGCTCCGAGACCCGAGCCCTGCAGCGGACCAGGGCAAGCGCATGGCGCTGGTCTGGCGCGATCGTGGAGGCCTCTTTGTGCACCCGTCTTGTGGTGCCGAGGTCTTCCACGAGCGGGCTTCGCCTCGCAAGAGCCAGGCTCACAGACCCGTGCCTTCCGCAGCCCTTTGCCTGGTTGGCTGGGCCGTGCTGCCCCTCTGTGATGAACTTTGCTTCACGGGGATGTATTCTAGGGCGTAATCCTGTGCGGCTCTAGGTCCTGGCTCATTTGGGGACCGCCGGGAAGGCTCACGCACGCGCAGCTTTGCGGTGGCCTGCGGCTGCTGAGGGCGCCGCGTCAACGAGAGGAAGCGGTTGCACGTGGGAGGGCTAGGGCTGGCCGCGGGGTCCCGGGAGGACGCCACGCTGCACAGGGGAGCGTTTGGGGATCGGGGCCGCTGTTCCTCCTAGCCTCACGGAGCCCGCATACGCTCGGATCCCCCCACGACCCACAGAAGTCTGCAGGGCCCCCGCGACCTTCCACTCCGCCTGTTCGGGTTGGGAGGCTCCTCGACTGCATTGGAGGCATTGGCGAAGCTGCTTTCTCGCATTCGCGCCAGGCAGCGACCACACACGCAGACCCAGGCAACTGCGAGTTGAGTTTTATTCCCAGCTCTCCTGTATTGGGTTCTCGCTTTGGATCGATCCTCCTCCTCCTCCTCCTCTTCGTTGCCGCCCCCCCTGCGGGGCTGGAAGCTGCGAACGTATCGCCAGCCCTCCCGCGTTGGGATCTCGCTCTGACGGCGCAGTCGGTGCTTGGTGGGGCCCGTCGAAGGCTTTACTGGGGTCAGGACCTGGCCGTTGACTCTCCGGTGGTGTCGTGCCCCGCGTCGCGAGGGGACGTCCGGGTCCCTGGCCCCTGCCTCGCCCCTCGTCGGACGGACAGCGGGGTGGGGTCGGCGGCACCCCAACATACTAATACTACGTGTGCGTCGCCCCCCCAGGGGCGACGCGCGCACCGTGAAATCTTATAGTATACTTGTCGTGGCGGGCGCTTTCTGGCCGTACCGCTCGGGAGACGATCTACGACAGGATGGTTTTACTATTTGATATCGGAGCAAAGCTCCAATCAGAGTCTTTCCAGGGCTATGGGGCTCTGGGGCTATGGGGCTATAGGGCTATAGGACCATAGGGCTATAGGGCTATAGAGCTATAGGGCTATAAGGCTATAGGGCTATAGGGCTATGGGGCTATGCGGCTATAGGGCTATAGGGTTATGGGGCTATTGGGCTATAGGGCTATAGGGCTATAAGGCTGTGGGGCTATTGGGCAATAGGGCTATAGGACTATATGGCTATATGGCTATATGGCTATAGGGCTATAGGGCTATAAGGCACCCGGGCACCCGGGCACCTGGGCATCCGGGCACGGGGGCACCTGGGCATCCGGGCACCCGGGGACCGCGGAAATCGGCGGCGAACCTCACGGGGGCACCCAGGCACCCGGGCACCGGGCCACCTGGGCACCAGGGCGTGCCGCCGAAAGCGGCGCCACAGTTCACCTAACCATTTGAATCCGCTAGGGCCTCTGCGGAGGCAAGCTCTGGTTGGGGAATGTTCGGGTCGGACGCACGCCTCCGAGGAGGACACATGGTACTAGCATGTCCCTGTGCGTCCCACGGGGGGAGGAGAGGGGAGGTTGCCATCTCCGCCGCCCGGCGTGTTCCTTTTGATATGGGCGGCTCTGGCACCCGAAGGCGCCGGGAAAGCCAGCCGCAGTGGGACTGCGGTACAAGGTCGAGGTCGGTTCGGGTACCCTCATGTTTTTCGTGCTTGTTGGATGTTCTTGTGCACCCTGGGGAGGGCACCCTTGGATTTTCTGTGCGTTTTGGCCGGTGGAGGGTCTCGTGTTCTTGATTCTTGGGGGATGTTCTTCTGTTCTAGGTTCGACTTGGCTTCAGTTGATTCGTTACTTCCACCTTCTGAGCGGCAGACGTATTCATATCCACGCCCTCGCGATCTGGATTCCAGGGCGCTATTCTGTGGATGCGCGGTCGCACGGGTACGTTCCGCGCTGGGCATCCGCGCGGCCCGCGTGGCCGTGGATGCGGATATGCTGTCCGCCCGCTGTTTGCTGTCCCCCCCCCCCCCTCGTCCGACCCGACCTTTTTCCGGCGCGAGCGGAGCTGGGCGGGACCCTCCTCCGACCAGAAATCAAGCGACACCACTCCACCCACGGCCCTCCATGTTGCGCTACGGCCCATCGGGGGCCGTAGCGCATACCACGCAAAAGCCCACGCGAGATTTCCTGGTATACGCTGAGCCCTGTGGGGCCGTAGGTGGAATGGTGTGGTTTGTGTTCTGGTCCACTCCTCACCCGCCAGTGCATGTCCATATCCACCGCCTCGGGGTGGTGCCCTGGGACCTCGCGGGGACGGGCAGATACCCACATCCACCGCCACGATTCCCATGGGACGCGACACCGCGGCAGTGGGACTCGACGTGTTCTGGCGGCGCACTACCCGGAGAGCTGACGCTGCAAGCCTGATGCAACAGCGCGAAAAATCGCGACCAGAGCCCCGGACCCCATCTCTTTGCGGCACGCTTCGAGCCGGATCGACGTGTGAGGGCCCCAGAGCCCGCAGAGCGGGCGCACTTTGGCGTCGGCTGCTGGCGTGTGGCGCGGGAGCGGGCGCACACGCCTGTGGTGAACCCATTGTCGCAGGCCTAGAGGTTGACACCAACACCAATATCGGCGGTGTGCCTCCACCGAGGGGAGAAGATCCCGGTCTCGGTGATGGTGGTAATATTCTGGCTCCCGAGGCGACCAACACATTAACGCCAGCACCGAAATCTAGGATCATCTTCCCCCTGTGGAGGCAGCCCCCTCTGTTGGTGCTGGTACCCATTTCCAGGCCTCCAACACTGCGTCGCCCGGCTCTCGGGATGTTCGTGCGGAGCGGCTGCCCCGTCGTCCTCTGCGCTCGGCCGCCCGATTGGAGGCACCTCCGTCTGCTGTGGTCCAGGCGCGTGGCCGTGTGGTGTGCTTGAAGGTTGCTTCGGGTGACGTCTGTACCCCCTCCTCGCTCCTTCTCCTCCTCCTCGCGCCTCCTCCTCCTCCTCCTCCTCCTCCTCCTCCTCCTCCTCCTCCTCCTCCTCCTCCCTCTCCTCGTCCTCCTCCTCCTCCTCCTCCTCCTTCTCCTCCTCCTCCTCGCTCCTCCTCCTCCTCCTCGCTCCTCCTCCTCCTCCTCGCTCCTCCTCCTCCTCCTCGCTCCTCCTCCTCCTCCTCAGCACGCACGGCTCGTCCGGCCCGACCGCCTCTGCGGCGCGAGCGGCGCCGGGCGGGGCGCCAATGGGCGGGCGCAGGCCCTCGGCCGCCCTGCCGCCTGGGGCAGCGACCCGGGCGGGCTCTCCGCCTCGGCCTCGGAGCTGTGGGAGGACGTCCCAGGCGCCGCGCCGTCCCGGGGCCTCGAGGATCGAGGAGGATCGGGGTTGTGAGTCGAGCGTTGTGTTTGATTGGCAGGCTGCTCTGTTCCCCACGTCCTGCGTGGGTCTGTTGTTCTCTCGGGACACCGCGCGCAGGAGCAGTAACAGCCCCGCATCATCATCATCATCATCATCATCATCATCATCATCATCATCATCATCATCATCATCATCATCATCATCATCATCATCATCATCATCATCATCATCATCATCATCATCATCATCATCATCATCATTTCCATCATCAAGACACCGTCATCATCACACCAGCATCGCCACACCGTGTTCTCACACTCACCATCACTATCACCATCACGATCACCATACGGCACCATCACCATCACCATCACCATCACCATCACCATCACCATCACCATCACCATCACCATCACCATCACCATCACCATCACCATCACCATCATCATCATCATCATCACCATCACCATCACCATCACCATCACCATCATCATCATCACCATCACCATCACCATCACCATCACCATCACCATCACCATCACCATCACCATCACCATCACCATCACCATCACCATCACCATCACCATCACCATCACCATCACCATCACCATCACTATGGCCATCACCATCACCATCACCGTCACCATCAGTACTCATTGGCTCGAATTCGCTGGGGAGCGAGATCGCGCAGCCCTTCCGAGCATCCCTCAGAGTCCGTTCAACGTGCTCGCTCGTGGCGGTACTGACAGTGAGCCACTGCAGGAGATCGGTTGTCCTTCGGATTTCCTTCCTCTTGCTGCCATCCGACATAGCAGAGATGGGGAATGTTGTTCAGAAGATCAGCGGGCCCGCAGCTCGCAAAATGAAGGTGGTGAAGTTGATCCAAGATGCTGGGGGTGATCGCGCCAGTGCAACATACAACGAGCTCATCCACAAGGACCAGATGGGGTTCGGCCAGTTGCTGGCCAACGCCCCCGACGACAAGCAGATGAAAGCGGTGCAGAAACTCTTGACGAAACGCAAAATCTAGTGGACCCACGAGCACCATCGGCACGATTCGAGCGCCACTGTAGTGACCGACTGGAGCACGGACGACACCAAGAATCGCTGCAAGGGCCACATGTCCGAGCCCCAACCGATCGCCCTCGACGAGAACGACTGGTCGATCCCGATCGCCCAAGCACCCAAGAAGTCTCCCAACGGCGAGTAGGAGTCTTCTATTTCGCTGCACTCCGTGGTGGACGCCGAGAAGTGGTGTGCAGCCTTACGTCGTCAGAAGGAACCGCTCGCGATCTTCGCCATCGGCGCAGGCAGCGACAGCAGGGCACATGCCAAGATCCAGATTCCAGTCTTGAAGGTTCCTCATGACGCCAATATGCCACATAAGACTTTCATGGAGGGGGTCATTCACCAGTTCGGCGAGACCGAGGTTGAGGTGAAGACCAATTTCGCGCAGTTGGACGCCGCGGATGCCAACGCCACCATCATGCGCAGCACTATCCACGAGGCTGACGCCTTATTCGTCAACCCTATATGTCTTTATTTCTCAGTTCAGCGGTGCCGCACCTATGATGATTGACGGCCAGCGCAACGACAAGCTCGGCAGTACGGCGAACGAGCGCTGGAAGCAGACTCGTCGATCTGATGCCAGACTTTCTCTCGATGCCGGGCTTCGCGAGGTCATCGCGTCCACCGTGAACGCCATCTGCCCCGAGGTCGAGCTCCGCGACGAGCCTAGTCGCTTCTCGCAGGCGGCCAAGCAGGTCGCCATCGGGAAGGCCGAGGAAATCCAGCTGCTGAAGTACTCGGGGTTCCAGGGCATCACGTTCACCTTTTCCTACATAGGTGCCGACTCCGAGAAGCAGGGGAGCGACGAGCATAAGGTGCGCTCCGTCTGGTTCAACGAAACGATCAGCATACAGGGCGCCTATTCCATGGCCGAGTCCCACGAGGCTGCTCTGGGCGTCACCAAGGGCGACCGCGGGCAGTTTGGTCTATGTGTGCTTAGTGGCCATCTTCAAGTCACTGAAGCAGCCACTGTTGTCCGAGGATCTGCTATCGCGCTGGCACGGCGCAAGCGGCGCATCGACAACATCCCTAACGGCCGAGCCACCAAGGGTCAGGTCGCGGATGCAGCGCAGCCGGTGGGCTGGACCGTGCATATCGTCCACGTCGGCTTCGGCAGCAACGAGAACACCAAATTCGCCGTCGCTCGCTCCGACACCGAGCCCTCCAACATGTACGGGAAGTTCGGCTCCTCCACGCCGTGGGTCGTCGCGGAGACTGCGCCAGGCAGTGCAGCGGGTGCCCTGGGCAACTCCACCGTGGACCCCGCTGTAGTGCTTGCGGCGTCGCTCCAGACAGGGGGGCGCCCGCCCCCGACAACTGCTCCGCCGTGGCTAGCAGGACACCGAGGGGAGCCGCCAGTGACGACGGTTACCCCGAGCGCCGACGGCGCCCGGATGGAGGTCGAACCGAAGGCCGCGCCACCTGTTCCCGCGCTAGTTCGACTACCTGACGCAGAGCACCAGCGTATTCGAGTGCACGAAGCCAGTGCGTGTGCACAGGCAGCTGCCCCGGAGACCGCGAAGGACACCGCTGCCAAGCAGGAGGCCTCTACCTCTGCCCTCGGCGCCAAGCTCAACGACGTCGCTCAGAAGACTGGCGCGGCCATCGGCGAGCTGAAGCGTGCGAACGAGAATCTCGATGCCACGATCAGCACAAGCGGGCTCGCTGTCCCAGGGGCTTGACCCAGGTCCCCGAGAAGATGAACCTGCAGCAGGAGTGCGCCGAAGCTCCCGACGAGAAGACCTCGCGCACCCAGGTCAAGGACGGCGGCCTCTGAGGGTGCCCAAGGAAGGCGAATCCCGCCTTCCGATGGGAAGTGCGCGAAAGGGGACATCAGCGCAAACCTTCTGATCTACTTCGTAGCGGACGGCTTGCCCAAGTTTTGGGGCACTGCAGCGCGCGGGGTGGCTGCGTGCGTGAGTTCCATGCCGCGGCGTCGACTTCGCAGGTGGCCAGTCTGGGTGATTGCTACTGCTGCGAGGAGACCGTGCCATATCCTGTGATGCCAGCGCCTCCTCTGCCCCTCCAGCGTGATCTCAGCGCTCAGCGACTGTCGCTCAGCAGGCCGCTCTTCTTCTGGTTTGCTTGCGCCCCCCAGCTGGGGTTCAGCCTGGGTCAACGGGCGCGGCAGTATTCGGATTCAACTCTGGGAGACGGCCCAGATCACCACGAGCTTGTTTCCATCAACGTGACGTCCTTGCAAGCGCCTTGGGAGCTCCCCGCGGCGCTTGGCGACCGCGGAGTGGCGGTGGCGGCCCTGCGGGAAGTTCGTCGCGCCCAACGCCAGCTTGCTGATATGGACAAGCACTTGCACCGACATGGGTGGGGAGCTCACAGGGGACAACCGCTGGAACCAGGTGAACTGAACGAGTTGTTCCATCGCAGCACGGCATGCACTGGTGCGTGGCCAAAGGATTGCATTCATGGCAACGTGGAGTTGCCATTGTGTCGCCTACGTCTGCCCCTGTCGTTCCGACAGGTTGTACTCGCCCGCTGCGCGATCGCGCCCCTGCCACTCAGAGGTGGAAGGAGGTCTTCGTCCCCGTCCCCAGCGACGCAGGTCGTCACGTCATGGGCTACTGCTTGGCCACGGTGTGCGGCGTCGCGGGCGCCAGCGTATGGCAATCGGCCGCACTTCGAGGTGCGGAAGCACCCTACTTCGTCACCATGGACGCGCAGTGTGACGCCACCGAGTTGGCATACCTCAGCTGGGTGCTCCAGGATGGCGCGTGGTGCAATGTTGCCAACGGGTGCGACGACCGCGGCGCCATGACCTACGGGCGCGATCCCAACTGGAAACGTTATGGCCCCACCGAGCACGCGTCCAGGATAGACTACGTCTTCGCCGACGAGAGCGCCAACTCCATGGTCATCAACTTCCAGATCGTGCGGGACTTTAGCTGTCTTGGTCAGCTCGGCCTAGAGGTCACCCTCGACGTCGGCGCCTTCGCCGCCGGCGTCTGACGGTGGGGGCGGCCCGAGCTCTACAGCGTCCAAGGCATCGCCGTGCCCCGCGAAGAGCGGGTCGCACATGGTGAGCTCTTTGTCGATCAACAAGCTCCACTTCTAGAGGCGTTGCGGGCGCGCCTTCAAGATCGCCGACAACTTTGCCGAGGACTTTCTGGTCACTGGGTGTGCTGGTCACGTTGAGCAGGTCGCTCGTGGGCGTGGCGCGCCCCCGAGGTTTGTTCATGGCTTGGCGGCGCCGACAAATTTACCGCGGCATGGCGCGACGTCGGGGGTCGTGTTGCAGCTCGCGAAACTTTATCGACGCCTGGTGGGGCTGAGTTACAGGGCCGAGCTTTGCGATGCCAGTGGTGCCGGTGCGTACTCTGACATTCAGCTCTTCCATCAGCTGTGGGCCAATGCTGCAAACAAGCTAGGGAACTTCAACCGGCGTGTGCTTCGCGGCCAGGCTGGTGGGCGCCATTGTGCTGGCCTGCGGCAGGGCAGGCGCGAGAAGATGCTGCGCGGGTAGTCGCTGAACAACAATGGCGTGCTGCTGAAACGCAACGACAGCGACTCCAACAATGGCGTGCCCGCAAAAAGTTGCATCCTGTCAGCAGGGGGTCCGAGAGGTGTGTGCGTGGGTGAAACCGCAAAGTGGCAACGCTTGCTTCTGGGGAAGTTCTGATGCGCCGAAGACTCAAAACCTGGCGGCGCGAATGATTCCATCCCGGATTTCATCCCGCCAGTTTTGGGGCTACCTCGGGGGCCAGATTGTCCGATGTATCAACGAGTCTCGCTCTGCAGGTTGAGTGGTCGCGTTGAGCAGTTGGTCCACTGCCTGGCGCTGGACCGCGAGAAGTACTTCGACCTGTTGGTGACGGACATCTGCGTGCAACTCCAGAGGCATACTGGTTTGTCCAGAAAAGCATTCGTCGAGTACAAATGGCGTTATGCAGCAATCATCGTCGATCTCTCAGAATGTCCGGCGCATGTAGTGACGCCATGAGCACCGCGAACGCCCGCCTCCAATGCTCAGCGTTCAGCGTCGACGGTATATTTATCCTGGCGAAGGACCCAACCATATGCAGTTGTGAAAACGCGTTGTCGGTGCCGCTTTCAGTGGAGCTCCCTATGGGGCCACGAAGCGCGTGAAGGACGTGCCGTAATGGGTGGGGGGGACGCATGCGGGCGGTGCCGCTGGGGCCTTCGGTGGGGCTCCCTATTGGCCACGAAGCGCTGTGCTGGGTGTGGCGGGCGCATGCGGGCGGTGCCCCTCAGTGGAGCTCCCGAGGAGGCTGCGGAACGCTGTGCTCGTTGGGGGAGATGCGTGCTGGCTGTGCCACTGGGGTCTGCCTGTGGAGCTCCCTGCGGGGCCACGAAGCGCTGTGCTGAGTGGCCGACGCATGCGGGCGGTGCCAGTGGGGGCTCCGGAGGAGTTCCCTCTGGGGCCACGAAACGCTGTGCTGGGAGGGGGTGGCGCATGCGGGCGGTGCCACTGGGGCCTTCGGTGGAGCTCCCTATGAGGCCACGAAGCGCTGTGCTGCGTGGGGGGTCGCATGCGGGTGAACCACTGGAGTTCCCAACGGGGCCATAAACCCTGTGCCGGGTTGGAGGAGGCCATGCGGGCGGTGCCACTGGGGCGGTGCCAATGGGGCCGCGAAATCAATGCTGGGTGGTGGACGACGCATGCGGGCGGTGACATTGGGGTCTTTCTGTGGAGCTCCATACGGGGCTTCGAAATGCTGTGCTGGGTGGTGGCTGACGCATGCGGGCGGTCCCATTGGGACCATCGGTGGAGTTCCCTATGAGGCCGCGAAGCTCTGTACGCTGACGCATGCGGGCGGTGCCACTGGTGCCTTTGGTGGCGCTCCCCATGGGACCACGAAGCGCTGTACTGGGTGTGGCTGACGCATGCGGGCGGTGCCACTTGGGCCTTCGGTGGCGCCCCCTGTGAGGCCACGCAACGCTGTGCTGGTTGGTGGCTGACGCATGCGGGCGGTGCCACTGGTGCCTTCGGTGGGGCTCCCTATGGGGCCACGAACCGCTGTATTGGGTGGTGGCTGACGCATGCGGGCAGTGCCACTGTTGCCGTCGGTGGAGCTCTCTGTGGGGCCACGAAGCGCTATACTGGGTGGTGGCTTGCGCACGCGGGCGGCCCCACACTGGGACCTTCGGTGGAGCTCCGTGTGCGGCGACGATACGCTTTCTTGGGTGGTGGCTGACGCATGTGCCACTGGGGCCGTCGGTGGAGCGCCCTATTGGGCCACGAAGCGCTGTGCTGGGTGGTGGCGGACGCATGCGGGCGGTCCCGCTGGGGCCGTCGGTGGAGCTCCATGTGGGGCCACGAAGCGCTGTGCCGGGTGGTGGCTGACGCATGCGGGCGGTGCCACTGGGGGTTTTGGTGGGGCCCCCTATGGAGCCACGAAGCGCTGTGCTGGGTGGTGGTTTGCCACTGGTGCCTTCTGTGGAGCTCCCTAAAAGATCACGAAACTCTGTACTGGGTGGTGGCTGACGCATGCGGGCGGTGCCACTGGGGCCGTCGGTGGAGCTCGCTTTTGGGCCACGAAGCGCTGTGCCGGGTGGTGGCTGACCCATGCGGGCGGTCTCGCTGGGGCCGTCGGTGGAGCTCCATGTGGGGCCACGAAACGCTGTGCTCGGTGGTGACTGACGCATGCGGGCGGTGCCGCTGGGGCCTTCGGTGGAGCCCCCTGGCTGAAGCATGCGGGCGGTGCCACTGGTCTCGCTCTTTGATGTTCTTCGACCCTTTCCCGCCTCCTCCTCCTCCCGATTGGGAGGAAGAGATGGGGGTCGAGGCCGAGGTCGAAGATGAGGCCGACTATGACCCTTCAGGATTTGCTTTAGGATTGAGATAGCCGCTTGAACTGATCCAGCTTGGCGACTATTTAGAGAGTGCCCCGTCCAGGGCGCGAGGCAAGAGGCTTGCCGTCACCTTCTCGGTATGTTGTGTGCCGAGCCCGTCTCAGAGTCCATTCGAGAGGGGATCACTGTCTTGTTTTCTTCCATTGTGGGTGTGCAGGCCCAGCGAGCTTAGACTAACCACCCCAATTCGCAGGGCATCACCGTCACCATCACCATTACCATCATCATCATCATCATCATCATCATCATCATCATCATCATCATCATCATCATCATCATCATCATCACCAGCACCATCACCATCACCATCACCACCACCATCATCATCACCATTCTCATCATCACCATCATCACCACCATCGCTATCGTAATCACCATCACCATCACCATCGCCATCACCGTTACCATCACCATCACAATCACCATTACCATCACCATCACCCCCACCATCCCCATCAACATCACCATCACCATCACCATCACCATATCCATAACCATAACCATAACCATAACTATAACCGCCACCACCACCATCATCATCATCATCATCATCATCATCACCATCATCATTATCACCATCGTCGTCGTAGTCGTCGTCATCATCATCATCATCATCCTCACCCACACACTGACGCACTCACGCACTCTTCCTCCTTCTTCCCTCTTCCCCCTCATGCTTCCCCCTCCTCCTCCATCATCATGATGATCATCACCACGCGCCCCTCCCCGTGCGGTCCCCATCTCATGCCCCGAATCTGATCGGGTCATCCGATCCAAGCGGCGGCCTCGTTTGGTGAGTGAATGGCGAAGAAGTCTCGAGCGGGACCCCCCTGCGTATGGGGCTCGCATTTTATGTTACCAATCAGGGCGGGTCATCGGAATATTCCACCAGGCGAAGCTCTTGAGCACCCCAAGGGGGCAAATCATGAGGGACGTCTTGAGCGGAGGGCTCGTCTGTGAGTGAAGCGCGAGGATGTCTCAGGAGGGAGCGCCCTCCTTCTTGGGCCCGGACTTCAGGCTTGTATTTCGAGCGGGTCATCCTCATACTCTACCAGGCATAGCACTTGAGCCCCCAAGGGGACAAATCGTTAAGGATTTTCGAGCGGGGGCCTCGTCTGTGAGGGAATTGCGAGGATGTCTCCGGCGGGAGCCCCTTCTTTATGGGGCCCGCACTTCATGTTGGGAAGTTGAGCGGGTCATCGGAAAACCCTACCAAGCATGGCACTTGAGTTTTCCAGGGGATCAATCGTCGAGGATGTCTCGAGCGGGGGCCTCGTCAGTGAGTGAATTGCGAGGGTGTTTCAAGCGGGAGCCCCCTACCTAAGGGGCCCGTATTTCATGTTGGTAATTCGAGCGGGTCATCGGAGCACCCTACCAGGCATAGCACTTGAGCACCCCAAGGGGGCAAATCGTCGAGGATGTCTCGAGCGGGGGCCTCGTCAGTGAGCCCTCCCGATGGGGCTCGTACTTCCTGTTGGTATTTCGAGTGGGCTAGTGGAATATTTTACCAGAGAGCAGCGGAGAGAACAAGAGAGCGGCAGAGGCCAGCAGAGGCCAGCAAGGCCCAGCAGAGACCCGCAGAGAGCAGCCTACGCAGCAGGCCTTGGCAGAGAACAGCAGATACCAGCAGAGACCACCAGAGACCAGCAGAGACCAGCAGAGACCAGCTCAGAGCACCAGAGAATCGAGCAGCGAGCAACAGAGCAACGCAGAGCAGCAGACAGCAGCAGTCAGTTGCAGACAGCAGAAGAAAGCAGCAGACATCAGCAGAGAGCAGTATATAGCGGCAAGAGCCGCAGAGACCAGCAGTCACCAGTAGGGATTTGCAGAGAGCAGCAGAGAGCAGTAGAGAGCGGCAGAGACTAGCAGCGACCAGCAGAGACCACCACAGAGCAGCAGACAGCGGCAAAGAGCGGCAGAGAGCGGCAGAGAGCAGCCGATAGCAGCAGAGAGCACCAGAGAGCAGCCGATAGCAGCAGAGACCGGCAGAGACCAGCTCAGAGCACCAGAGAACCGCAGAAAGCACAGAGATCAGCAGAAAGCAGGAGACAGCAGCAGGCGGCAGCAGACGGCAGCAGAGAGCAGACGGGAGTAGCAGAGACAAGGAGAGAGTAGCGTGCAGCAGCAGAGAGCAGCAGACCCCCGCAGAAAGCAGCACCTACCTGCAGTCACTAGCAGGGACTGGCAGAGAGCAGCAGAGAGCAGCAGATAGCGGCAGAGGCCGGCAGAGACCGGCAGTGACCAGCATAGAGCAGCAGACAGCAGCACAGAGCGGCAGAGAGCATCCGAGAGCAGCAGAGATCAGTACAGAGCAGCACAGACCAGCAGAGACCAGCAGAGACCAGCTCATAGCACCAGATAATGGCAGAAACAGCAGACTCCAGCGGAGAGCAGCAGACAGCAGCAGACAGCAACAGACAGCAGCAGAGAGCGGCAAAGAGCAGCAGGGAGCAGCAGAGTGCAGCAAAGACCAGGAGACACCAGTAGACAGCGGCAGTAGGCATCAGCAGCAGCAGACAGCAGCAGAGAGCAACAGAGAGCAGCAGATACCAGCACAGACCAGCACAGACCAGCAGACAGCGGCAGAGAGCGGCAGATAGCTGCAGAGAGCAGCAGAGAGCGGACGAGAGCAGCAGAGACTGGCAGAGAGGAACGTCCAGCAGCATAGAGAAGCCGATAGCAGCATAGAGGAGCAACTGACTGCAGTCCATCAGCAGGGACTAGGACTCAGTCACAAGGACGACGATGAGGCTAACTTGCAGATTAGTTTGGGGGATTCTCATGTGGGGTCCTACCGTCGGAGTAGCGGGGTGTTTGAGGAGAAATTGGGGCAGAGCCACGGCAGGATTCTTTCGAGCTTCCGGCCAGATCACACCGAAGGACATGTCGGGGGTCGATTTTTGATCCCCGACCTTCCCCACTTCCTGTCGTTCGAGGTTTGACACTCGAGACTCTCTGACATTTTCGGTGGTTCCCGCAGGTTTTCCAGACTCGGGATGCTTTCCAGCAGCTGCGCCGCGGCGGGAGCTT